GGGTGGGGGAAGATTCTGCCTAATCCTTCGAAGTAGGTATTGGCTTAGCCTCAGGGGGGACAAGGACAGGCAGGAGCTGGCCCTGCCCAGGGAAGGGAAGCCCCTGGCCAGCTCTGAGCCCAGCTGTGGGCTGACAGTCCACAGGAAGTTTGGCATTTGGAACTGAGGCCCCGGGACCCCCAGGCAGCCCACCAGGGGACATGGGGCAGGGCTGCCACCAGGCAGAGATCATCAGTAGCCAGGGCTCCCGGCACTGCCCCGGGGGTCCTCCCGGCCCCTTGAACAGAACACACTGGCCCCGGGATTATCAAAACAGGACCGGGTTTAATCCTCAGGCTGAGGTGTTGGGGGCTGGACCCCAGAACCCAGGCGCCACCTCCAAGTGCGCACCACTCCCCCAGTAGACACCAGAGGGTCGGCCGCGGGCCTGGCCTCCTGTGGCCGGAATCGCAACCGAGTCCCTCCGGCCCGCAGCGCCTAGCCGCGGTTCAAGAGCGAGTTCTGAATGTCCTCCAGGGCCTCGCGGAGCAGCTCCTCACGCGGCTTCGTGCCGTCCAGGTACACTGAGGGGGGAGGGCCACCATCAGAGCTGCTGCTCACTGGGGCTACTCCAGGAGGGTGGTGACCCGTGCAGGGGAGGATGGGCAACTGCTGCAGCGGGAGGCAGCTGACTGCAGAGTCAGGCTGCTGGAGCAGAACACACTGGGGATCAATGGCAAGAGGGACTGAGGAAGGACTTCAGGAGGGACTTCCAGGTTTCCCAAAGGGAGTGCAGAGGATTAAGGGCTGAAGGATGGGAGAGGCTGGGCTCTGAGCCCCGCAGGGCCAGCCTTGACCGGCTCAGGGACTTACCCACGTCCACACCGCTGGCCTCCATCTCTCGTTTATACTTCTGGTACATGGGCCACACGTGGCCGTCAAAGAGGCCGGGAGGATCAGGGACGGTGTAGGTGCGGGTGCTGCAGCGTGAGGCCACAAGACAACAGCTGTGTCACAGAGGGCGGGCCAAGTACACACCCGGGCCCGGACCCAGGCCACGGTCGGACCCAGGCCAGGGTCGGAGAGGCCCTCCCGAGGGGGGACCCCAGGGCAAAGCTCCAGCTTCCCGCATTTTCGCCCTGAGGACGCGGGGACTTCGGGGCAGGTGCACTGTCCAGGTCTGGGTTCAGGCCTCTGGGACACAGCGCCTGTCAGTGCAGCTGGCCCGGGAGGCCTCAGGTCCAGCAGGTGTTTCTGGCTGGTGACCGTCCCACCCGAGGACCCAGGACAGGTCCTGCCGCTCACCTCCTCCTCCACTTGCACTCTTCATACGGGACAGTCAAGAAGTATCTGCGGCTGTACAAGTCCACCAGGGGCCTGGGCAGAGGGTGGGGACATGGTCAGCACCTGTGAGTGGCTTCCAGGCACTTTCCTGGTGCTGAGGGCTGGGGTTGGTCTGAACCCATTAACTTAGGGTCAGAGAGGGACCTAGAATTGGCCAGCATCTCTGCGGCAGGCCCTCGTGATAGAATCACCCCACTCTTTCAATTTAGATGGTCACAGAGAGGTACACTGCATTGCCCAAGGTCACACAGCAAGGCTGAAAGTCCAGCCCTGGTTGTGGCTCTGCCAGAGAAGGCTGAGGTTCTAGATGATTCTCTCCTTGGTCTTCTGTCAAAATAGAATCATGGTGGCACCCGGCCCTGGGGGAACAGGGTAGGGGCGTACTTGTAGCTGTAGAGCAGGAAGCCTTCCAGGAGAAGGATGTGGGTGTCCGGGGCGCCTGGCTGGACATTGACCCCGTGGGCGCGGGCGAACTTCTGAGGGTTGCTCAGCCAGGCCCGCACGGTGCTCAGCATGGCCTCCATGTCCAGGGACTCCAGCACTGGGGACCAGAGCGCAGGGTCAGGGGAGGCCAGGGGCCCAGGGACCATGGGGGACCGTGGGGACGGGGGGCAGTGTCATCCTTACCGTCCCATTGTTTGAAGCCGTCCTCCCCAACCGCTATTTGGTCTTGGGGCTGAAACAGAGGAGCCCGAGCCACAGGCTCAGTGCTCGCTCTGCCTGGGCCCAGTGGGGTCCCCTCACCCCTCCTCGCTTCACCCCCACCCTCCGCAAGGCCCTTCTGCAGATGGGAATGTGGAGGTGCGGCGGGGTCAAGGGTGTGTCGCGGAGCCTCGTGGTCCTGGCTGGACCTGGCCGCCGCTCTCCGTGGGCCGCCTGGGGCTCCCCGAGCAGGGGCGGGTGCTGAGCCGTCCCTCCCGGGCGCTCAGCCCAGAGCCACCTGGAGGCTGGGCAGGACTTGCACCTGTGTGCGGCCTGCGTGGGCCCTGGGCAGCAGAATGTGGGGGTGCAGGGCCTGGCTCCCGCCCGTCCTCCCGGGCCAGGAGGGCTACCTTAAAGAAGTCATCCTGGTGAATCACGCAGCAGTTGGGCAGTGAGCGGTGCAGACCGTTGGCCAGAGTGGTCTTGCCGCCGTTGGTCATGCTGTGGAGAGAGCACGCTGTGGCCCGGGCAGGTGGGCCGGGAAAGGACAGACACTCGCCACAGAAACACTAGCAGCTCACTCCAAACCCCGAAGGGGGCAGTGGGCTTGTGAGCATCCCTGGGCCACCTCGTCTGTGGCCAAGTGCAGGAAGAGGGAAATGGGAAGACTGGGCACAAGATGGGCACGGTGGCCTGCCTGCTGTCCTCCCCCGGAGCTGAGGCAGGAGGAGCCGCGTTCCAGGCCAGCCTAGCAAGGCAGTGAGACCCTCTCTCACTGCACAGGGCTGGTGTGGCGCAGGGGACAGTGTTGGCCCAGGATGGGCCGGGCCCTGGGCTCCGACCCCAGTGCTGGGGGGAGACGGGGAGCAGGGATTGTCGCCATAGGGTGACCTGCTTGTCCTGGTGTGCCTGGGAGTTTCCTGGTCTCAGCACTGAGCATCCCAGGACAGTCCTCGGGACACTGGGACAGTGGGTCACCCTGTGGCAAAGAGAGCAGGTCATCTTGACTCCCAGGGGTGACTGAGGACCATCTGGGTGATTTTCAGGGCTTCTCTGGAAATCAGTGACAGTCTGTATCGCTGTCCTTGTTCTGGGGTGTTGAGGTATAAGGTTGGATGTGGGGGTGCAGAGAGCAGCCCTTGCGGAGGGCTCGCGAGAAGGGGGACCCCTACATGCTAAAGAAGCAGCAAACTAATTACTGCTGACCTCAATCAGCTCGGTGCCCTGAGGGACCCTGTCCAAAGACCCCAGGAGGGTCAGGAGGGGGCAGCAAAGCCCACAAACCAGCGAGGCCCCTGGGGTGGCCCCAGAGCCTGGGCTGCGCACCACGGGGCTGCCCCTTGGCCCACCAGGAGGGCGGAGCGCTTTGCCCTGGGGGACCTTTTCCTATTTTTCTTACTGATTTGTGTTTTTCACCCTAAAGATATTTGGAGAGGGAAGCCCGGGCACTGCACCCAGCCCCTGGCCACCTGCTGGGGCGCTCACCCTCCACGCAGAGACCCCGGGGCCCAGGCCTCCCGGTGACCCAGGGTCCATTCATGAGCAGCCTCCCGGCCTCCCACCTCGGCCTCCCGCCTCAGCCCCTGAGGGCGGCGCTCACCCTCCGATGCCCACGATGAGCTTCATGTTGGCGGAGGGCGGCGGGGACAGCGCTGCAGGGCTCCCAGGAAGCGCCGCTGGGCACGACCCCATTCGGCGGCGTGTCCCGGCTTCATTGAGAAAACCGCCGCCTTTATAGGCCCCCCGCAGCCCGGAGGCCGCCCCGGGGGAGGCGGCCGGGCGGGGGCGGCGGCACCTGTCCCCACGATGGAAATAGCCCCGAGCTGCCTTTGCCTAAATTAGCCGCGGGCTGCGCGGGTGCGCGCGGGGCTCGTCCCCTCTGCGCGCCCCCCTCCCCGCTCCTGGCCGCGGCACTGTCACCGCCGCACTTTCCCTCCCTAAAAATATCATGCCGCTGTGTGTCCCCTGGCCTGACCCTGACATTAAGCCGGCTTCTCTGACGCCAAGGAAGGGAACCGAGCCTGCTCCCCGCTCTGTCCCCAGCCCGCGGGGGCGTGGGCTTCCTTTCCCAGGGCATCGGGATCCCGTGGCGAATCACGAGACCCCGGCAAGCAGGACACCGGGCCATTCCTCACCGGGCTGATCCTGGTAAGGGAAGGAAATCGGCCTGACTCTTCCACAGCAGCGAGGCCGGGCACAGGGGCCATCCCAAGGACTGGAGGCCAGCCTCGGCGCTTCTCAGACCCGCGCTCAAAATAAAAAACAGAACAAGAAGAGCAGGGGCAGCTCGGCATTAACCCCGGCCCCCACGGACAAGGCCACCTCTGCCAGGGAGGGGAGGGGAGGAGACCCCTAAACCCAACAGAGGGAAAAGTGGGGTTCAGAGCCCAGGAGGGAGTTGGGGGCAGGAGGCAGTGAGGAGGGCAGAATAGTTCCAGCAGATTCCAGTGGGCTCCTGCCCAGCCGGGGGGGGGGGGGGGGGGGGGGGAAGGGGGGGGGGGGATCCTGGCTGGGCCCCACAGAGGTCTGCCCCAGGGCACAGCCTGCCACCTTCCATGTGTGGAAGGCCACGAGGACCCAAGGGGCCAGACAGCCCCTCCCTGGCCCAGACCACAGGGTCTGGAATGTCCCCAGAGGCCTGTAGGGGAGGCCTGGTCTTCGGCTGGGCACTACTGGGAGGTGGTGGACTCTGCTTCCCGGTCCTGGTGGGAGCTGCCCTGTGGTGCCCTGCCCTGCAGTCCACGTGGGGCTGGTCCCACCGAGAAGGCTCTGAGTGTGCCCAGGCCGTTCCTTCTCAGTGGTTAAGTGCTGTATGTGAATGTCGAGGTCCTGGGACCTTCTCCTGCCAGTCAGGGGCAGGGGGGTGGAGATGGCAGGAGGTCGGAAAGGCAGGCTGGTGTGCTGACGGGTGACAACAAATCCCACCATTAGGACAACTGTGATGCACCAATTTGAAAACGTGGAGAAAAAGTTAAAAAAAAAAAAAAAAGGCTGGGTCTGGCTCTGAAGATGAGGAAGGGGACTCTAGAATTTGGATGCGGCGGAGTGGACCCTCCCTGGAGCTCAAGAGGGACCTGCCCTGCCGCACCGCACCTGTATGGAGCTCAGGGAGGCCGGTGAGGGAGGGACTGTCATCTAGGGGAAAAGGGCCAGCCACGCTCTTCTCCTGCAGGCAGGGCCCATGCCACCCAAGGTGCCACCGGTGCCTTTCCTGTGCCGGAGGTGGCCGCTTCCCGCTCAGCCCCGCGAACCACGCAGAGGTCAGCTGCCACGGGAGGCTCTGCCTGGCCAGGCCAGCCCTCCCGTGCCACGACAGTGGGCAGTCACAGACGACGACCGGAGGAGACCGGGGAGGGAGCAAAAGAGGCGGCGCCGAGTTCTCGGGCGCGCTCCGCTCCGCACGGGACAGCGCGCAGCTCCCTGCCCTGGGAGCCGGGGAGCCCGCCCAGGCGTCTCCCGTTCTTTGGCCAAGAAGAAAACGGTCTCGCTGCTTGACCCGGGCTGGGTTTCGGTTACTGCCCACACGGTCCCTAGAAGGGAAGAGGACCTACTCTGTGTGGAAACCGGTAACGTTCCTGCGGCGCGCACGCGCAGTCCACCGCGGCGCTGCCCGAGCCCCGCCCCTCCCTGGACACAGCCCTGACCGCGCCTGCTTCTGACCGACGGCGGGCTGCTGTTGGAGGCAGGGGAGGACAACGCGGCACGGAGGACAAGAGAAGTGTTTTCAGCAGCTGCAGGGTTCTCGGGCCTGCGCCGAGCTGGGCACACCCGCGTTTGGGAACCTTCATACGGTTTTTCCCCTTGATGCTGCCACGGAGCCCAGGACCTCACACACGCTGGGCAAGTGCTCTGCCGCCGACCCACACCCCAGCCCTCGCCTTTTTCTTTCTTTCTTGCTTTCTTTTTTTGAGACAGGATCTCGCTGAGTTGCCCAGGCTGGGCTTGACCTTATGATCCTCGTGCCCCGGCCTCCTGAGTCACTGGGATGACAGACATGGCCACCCCAGGTTGAGTCTTAGATGTCATCACAAGGCGCTTTATAAGAGGGAAGCTTGGCAGATTTGGAGGACAGGTGACAGTGGAGGTGGGGACAGTAGTGATGTGTCCACAGGCCAATGGAGATGCCAGAAGTCCCCAGCCGCAGGGAGAGGCCGGAAGGACCCGCCCCTGGAGCCCTGGGAGGGAGCTCAACCCGCCCACCCTGCACTTTGGTTTGCAGCCCTCGGTGGGAGGTCACTTGTTGTAACAGTGTTACTATTGGGGTGTCTCCAACAAAGGATTGAGCAAGACCTGTAGGAGTAATGGCCAAGCGCAGGTCCACCCAAGCTGGAGGGGTGGCGCTGCGTGAGGTGCCGCGGAAAGGCCAGCGAGAGGGGCGGAGGCCGGCGTGGGCATCTCCTGTCCTGCGTGCTGGGCAGACCTGACTGAAGACCTCGCCCCACTGGCTCCTGCTAGATGTTTTAGGGCACCAAATTCTTGGCGTCATCATGAGTGATGAGCCCTCCTGGCGAGAGTCGTCACGGTGACGGACAGGATGACTCATGTCCAGTCTAGCCCTCCACTACCCTGCCTCCCATCATGGAGACCCTGAACTCCAACCTGCAGCAAGAGAGGGCCCAGCTTCCTGGCTGCTGGGCCCCCAGCTCAGCCAGGCCTGGCCCTCCCGACCTCGTCCTCCAGGGCCATGGCAGCTCACCGGGACCTGGCACGGCTTCCCAGGCTCCCAGTCCCTCCCACCCCTGCACAAAGCCCTGGCTTCCACCCCCAGCTCCACAAAAAAACAAAACCACAACTAAAACTACCCCCGAAGGACACTGGCCCCCTCTTGTGCCTGGGAGCTGGGCCGTGGGCACTCTCAGAACAGGGCGGCTCGCGCTGGTCATGAAAGGAGCAGAGCTTCCCACTGGGCACCTGCTGGAGTTCAGAGGTGACAGACACCCTGCCCAGCTGCCACGTGGCAACCAAGGCCCAAAGCCCCTTTTGGAGTGCTTGAGAATGTTCCAGAACTAGATGGCTGCATGTTGTACAGGTTCTCAGTGCCACCGGACGTGCTCCCGGGGTTGATTCTGCCTGGCACCGTGGCACACGCCTTCATCCCAGCCACTTGGGAGGCTGAGGCAGAAGGATCACAAGTTCAAGGCCAGCCTCAGCAACTTATCGAGGCCCTGCCTCGCAGTAAAAATAAGAAAGGGCTGGGGTGGAGCTCAGTCGTAGAGCTCCCCTGCGATCAATCCCGGGTACAAAAAAAGGTCACTCTTAGGCTGTGTGACTCTCACCTCAATTACAAAAACAGCCTAGTCCTGAGCTTGGCTGACGCTCAGGCCCCCCGCGGGGCCCCTCTCCGCCTTGCTCTGCAGGCTCCCCCAGCCCCTCCTGCCTCCAGGCCTGGTCCTGGTTGGCCCCCCACCCCTGCAGCCCCCCACCTGCTGCCGGGCACCTGCACCTGGTCCAGCAATGCCAGCGCTCCAGGGGGACTCCTCACCCAGCGTCCCAGGATGGTCATCAGGGTGAGCCCACACTGTCCGTTCCCACCCCCTACCTGGCAGAGATGTGTGACTGCTGCCTCGGTACCTCTGTCACCCAGAGTCCTGGGCCTGGTTCCATTCGGACCCTGGGAGAGGCCCAGCCCCTCAGTCCTGCAGCCAGCAGACGCCTGCAGGTTCCCGCTGAGGGAGGGGACGGCCACGGGAGGTGGGAGAGGGTCAGACCTCAGACTCACTCCTCACCGTGTGTGTGACCCCGGGCCAACCATGTCACCTCTCCCTGCCTCGAGTTCCTCCTCTCGGTAACGTGGGGGCTGTGTGAGGTGGATCATAAGCTGTTACCCACGTTGGCTACTGTATTTATTATCATCATTTTGGTGCTGGGGATGGAACTAGGGCCTCACACACGCTAGCAAGCGCTCCATTACTGAGCTGTGCCCCCAGCCTTTTTTTTTTGGCACCAGGGATTGAGCTCAGGGGCCCGTGACCACTGAGCCCCATCCCAGCCTATTTTGTATTTTATTTAGAGACCGGGTCTCACCGAGTTGGCTAGCACCTCACCATTGCTGAGGCTGGCTTTGAACTCGCGGTCCTCCTTTCTCAGCCTCCCAAGCCGCTGGGATTATAGGCGTGCGCCACTGCGCCCGACCCCAGCCCTTTTTATTTTATTCTGAGACAGAGTCTCACTAAGTGGCTGAGGCGGAGGCGGAGGCCTCCTCCAACTTGCATCCTCCTGCCTCAGCCTCCGGCATGGCTGGGATGACAGGCGTGGCCTTCTCACCAAATCTGTGATTGTTTTCACCCACTGAATTGGATTCATTCCAGAGAGGCTTGGGGCCAGAAAGCACCTGGAATCACAGAGAGCAGAGCCAGGGGCCCTGGGTGCACCTCGGGGGCCTCCCTGCAGATGGGCAAGAAAGCGGAAGCCCGCGGGAGCCGGGCCTTCTGGGGCTCCTCCCTCCACATGGCACCTGCCACCGACCCACTTTCCCTCTGGACACACACAGGCCAGACCTCCCTTCTGGGTTATAGTTTATTATGTCCCACAAACCCCCCGGAGCTCATGGAGATGACGTCTTCACATCACGACAGCGATCATGGTCATTTCTGTGGTTAAAAATCACAAAACTCGCCTTCAGAAGGGTGCACGTGCGAACTGCCACTCTCAGGTCACAAGAGAGGAAGCCAATGTCCCCTGACAAGGAGGCCTGGGTCCACTGCCTCTCAGCCACGCTACTCCCCAGACGCAGCTCCACCCCAAGGCCCAGTCCGGGCAGCGTGTCCTGGACAGGGCGTGCGCACGGGGCTGTCCAGACACACCTGGCCACAGGTGGCCCCGGAGATGCGGCCTCCCGCTCGCCGGGCCTTCTTCCCTCTGGAGGGTCTGCTGTGGCCGGCAGGGGTGCTCGGCTACTGGCCTGTGGCTGCTGGTGATCCGAGGGGCGGTAGGTGCACTGGGCAGAGCCCGGGGCCCCACGAGGCGGATGGGCCTCCCTCACGCCGTCGCCCGCCGCTGTAGGCACTGGTTGTGGGAGGGTAGAACGGGCCCGTTCTGTCCCTGGCTCCTTCGTCCCACTGGGGGAGAACCCGGTCTTCAGTGAGGACGAGGCTTGGGGGTCACGGTCCTGATGGGCAAGGAGAGTCACAGCAGGCAGCCTGCCCTGGTCACCCGGACTGAGCCGTGGTGGCTGCGTGGCATCTGCCGGGGCCTCCCCGGAAGGGCCTGTGCTGTCTTGCGCAGGCTGTGGGGACGCGCCCCCGCTGTGGGGACACGGGGCCTTCCGGGCCTCCTGCGGCTCTGGCTTCGCGGGGACCACCAGCAGAGCCCCGGGACCAGGTGCTGTGGGAAGAAGGGCTGCCCTGTGTGGTCAGTGAGGGATGGCCCTGGGCAGCAGGGTCTGGGGGCAGCCGACAGAGGCCTGTCTCGTGGCAGAGGCCGCCTCAGGCCCCAGGTGGTCCGGCCCCATGGTGTCCTGGGACACCATCACTGTCCTCGTCCTTTATTTGACATCTAGGAAATGGCGACTTAAACATCTCCATCCCCCGTGGTCCAGCCTCCCTAGGTCAGAAGTGGGTGTTCCCCAGGAGTGTCCCCGGCACAGCACAGTCGCTCGTGACGGGCTCCCAGGCCCAGGGCTCCTCAGAAGCTCCGTCGTCCCCAGGTGGGAGATGCTGGCGTGTGGGACAGGAGGCCGAGGCCACTGTCCCACGTGGCACCTCGTTGTGCAGCCCTGCCGAGCGGCCCTGACCACCACAGTGCCCCTGCTGGGCCAGGTCCACACCCGCTGGACGTTTCACCTGGCCAGGTCACCTGGACATCGACGGCACTTGCTGACGCGCCCACTCAGAGGCAGGAGGAGGGGCCTCGGAAGGTGCCTGCTGGACTTTTGCTTGGGTTCATCAGGGACAGAGACCAGCCCTGGAGGGCCAGCGGCGGCCACGTTCCGCAGACAGCAGACACTGCGGGTCCTGGGCTCACGGAACCTCCTGGGGCCTGGCCCCGGCAGGTCTGTCCGTCTTTCACCCGCCAGACCCCGGCTCCCTGGAGGAGGACCAGGTCCGAGCTGGGAACGCGGGTGCCCCCCGCTCAGCACCCTGGGACTTATTTCCCACCATCTTCAGAAGCCTCCGTCTCCGGCCTCCCCCTGCAGCCTCCTCTCCCAGGTCTGCACTTCCAGAAACCGCCTGGCGCAGAGCTGGCTTCTCGGCCTCTGTCCTCAGTAGGAAGCCTGGGGTGTGTCCCAACCTGGCCCGGGGGTCAGGCCAGGGAGGGGGCACAGTTGTCCCCTTGGAAGGAGGTCCTGGTTGGATGCCCGGTGGCGTGGAGTTCCAGCTAAAGGGGCTTGAGTGGGTTCTAGACTGAGGCCGGAGGGTTTGGCCGCCGGACAAGGCGTCGTCTCATGCGATCAGCTCAGTGTCTCCCAGGGAGAGGGGGTGTCCTTGGAGGTGACAGGGGCAAGGCGAATGACACTCCAGGGGTGTGAACTGGGAAGTGAGGCTGAGGTCAGGCGATGCCCAGGCCTGGCCCTCGGGCCTGAGGCCGGGCTGCGGGGGCCACGTTCCAAAAGGAAAGGCACCGGACAAAACAGGGAGCCGGGGTGTCTGTGGCTCCAACCTGGACCATGTCAGGGACACAGGGACCTCGGCCTGTGCCCAGCACTGGCCAGGGCCAGCTAGGACAGCAAGAGGTGTCCTGTAGCCTCAGGGCCTGGGGCAGGGGCAGAGGTCACCAGGGCCCTCTGGAAGTGGGAAGAGCCGAGAGCCGGACCTTCTCCGGACACTCTAGCACGGCCTCGTTTTTAAAAAAATAAAATAAAATGTTTTGAAGCAGCTGAAAAGAGGCTGGGGCTCAGAGGTGGGTGGGGACAGGGCCGGCCGGGGACAGGGACGAGGCGAGCAGGTGCGGGCTGGAGGGCGTCCGTCGGGTTTCTTGGCATCTGGAATCTTCTTTTGTCTTCTCCACGCTCAGCCACCTCAGGACATGCTGGGGACACACACAGGCCAGCTAAAGTGGAGAATGCCCTTCCCCGTGGGTGGGGTCCAGAAGAATGACCCCCCCAGCCCCAGAGCCTTTCTAGCAGGAGTGGCTTCTGCTCTTCAAGGCAGGTCACCTGCCACCCACCTACCCATGTGGCTTTGACAGGAGCCTCCCTCCTGGTGCCCCAGCAGAACAGGTCCCAGGGACTGTGATCCTCGTCCAGACTGGACGGAGGGGTCCACCCACCCATCCGTCCACCCACCCACTGACCACCCGCCTATCCATCTGTCTGTCCTCCTTCCTTCAACATCATCATCTGTCCACCAATAAGCAGCAGAGTTGACACTCTCTGGGGATTTTGAAGGTGATGACACGTTTAAAAGTATAAAAAGGCAAAAGAAGGACTCGTAAGAGTGATGGGTCGGGGATGTCACCTGGTCATTAGCAACCTGCCTGTGTGACTGCACCCCTGCCGTACAGGGCAGGGTGATCGGCTTGGGTGACCACTGCCCTGCACTCCCGGGGCAGCACCCCTCGCCCCCAGTAAGCCGTGGTGCAGCTGTCCCGAGGCTGGGCTCCACTCAGAACACTCGGAAAAGGTCACCAACCACCCAGCGTCACACCCACCTCGTTTCCTGATCCTCGGTGACCAGGTCAGGCCTGTGGGAAAAAGGAGACTCAGTGCCATTTACCTGTTTGGGGCCTGAACCTGACCCGGTCAGGACTGGGGCCCACAGGGACTGACTCTGCCTGGCCTTGGTCTGGTACAGAGAGGTGTCACCTGCCGGGTGACAGATGAGCCAGGGTGGGGACTGTGCGGCCACAGGCCAGGCCCCTCACTGCTGCCATGAGTCCCCTAAAGCTGCTCGGGGCTCACAAGCCTGGGGAGGCTGAGTCTATGCACCAGGACGTTGACAAGGTCACCTTCTAGAACCTTCTCTGAGAGCAGAACTTGGTCTCCTGGTGTGTGCTGATGCAGGGAGAAGGAGGGGACGGTCCCTGTTGGGGGCCCTGACCTCAGGAAGCTCCGAGGGCAGAAGACACGTAACAGGTGACCAGGGAGCTACCTTAACTTACTACACACCAACGTCACTGTGAGCGGCTCCCCGTCACCGGGCTTGGCTCCTGTGGCACTGGAGGGCCATCTGGAAAGAGCCCCTCGGGGCCCCTGAGGCTAGACCAGGTGCTGGGGGCCAGGCAGCCGCGGGTGTCACCTCTCGCCCCGTGGCCACCTGCACACTTACCTGTCCTCCTCTGACGCTGCCTCTGCCCTCTCCTCAGACCTGGGCAGGAGGAACTCTGGCTGGGGCCTCGCGCTGTGGACAGAGAGCGCCAGGTGACGAGATGGGCCAGCGGGCTGTCTGGCCCGGGCTGATGGTGGCCTGGGGACGGTTCAGGGCTGGTCGTGCTGGGCCCGGGGTGGAGACAGGTGCACTGCTGTCCAGTATGGGAGCGTCCTGGTCATTGGCAGCCATAGAAGTGGGCCTGAGGGGCCCCGGGGAGGAGGACCCTGGGCCCTGCCTTGGGGGCCCCGGGGAGGGGCCCTGGGTTGCTCCTCCACAGACGCTGTGGCACCTGCGGTCACGTGGGTGTGGGTGCTGTCTGCCTGTCCATCTGTCAGTTGAGGACTGGGCAGCACAGTTCACAGGGGAAGGTCAGGGGCAAGGACAGGTGGTGACCACACACCGGGGCAGCACTGTGGGCAGGCCAGGAGCTGGCCGTGCAGCGCTGGAGGCTGTAGCAGGGGAGAGGCGGCAGGAGGGGCCTCAGGGGCCACACCGAGGGGCCTGTGACCCTGTGACCCACAGTCCCCCGGTGGGGACATGCTCAGAGGAGTGGACTGCAGGGATGTGGACAGCCCTCATGCCCATGTGAGGGGCGTGAGGAGAGGGTGGCACCTGCTACCTGCCACCCCTGCTACTGGACCTGGGACGTGGTGTCCACCTCCTGGGAGGTGCCCGAGCCTTGGAGCCATTGAGACGGGAGGTGGCCTGGTGGGCGCCGGGTGGGGGGACCCCAGCTGGTGTGGAGGGACAGAGCTTCAGCCTGGGGAGACGGAGAGCCCTGGAGAGGGTGCATGGCCCTGGGTCTGCCCCCTGCCCTGAGCTGTGCCCCTGAACAGGGGCGGGGGTCGGTTTTATGTGGTGTCTGTTAATCACGACAAGGACAGGCGGGAGGAGAGAGGCAGGAGGGGGAGAACCTGGGCCACCTGCCCTCCCCATCTGCCCAGGGCACTCCTACCTGGGATCCTTTCCTCACCCAGCGAGGTGTCTCTGTCCTCTGCTATTTGGTCCAGGACTCTGTCATATTTACCTCCGTTTTCCCTGAGCCTGTCATGACCCACCAAGAGCCCCAGCTCTCTCATGGACTTGCTGTGTGACCTCGGGCAGGTGCCTTACCCTCTCTGAGCTTCCCTAGGCAACTCTCAGCGGTTGTGAAAGCCTCCAGGAGATCTCTATAAGTGGGAAGGGCTGAAACACTCCTGGAATTCGGTGAACGCTGCTGATGGTTGTGCATGTGTGGGGCGAGGGGCAGGCCTGCCTTCCCTCTGCAAAGGGGGAGCTCAGCACCAGGGCAGCCAGGGTCCTGTGTTGAGCGTGAGCTCTGGTCACCCTCACCGCCCAGGGGTTTTACGCTGTTCCTGGTTTCCCAGAACACCCTCCAAGGTGCTTCTAAGTACTTCCCTAAAGCCACTCTGGCCCACCTCAAAGCCCTCTCCTGAGCCCAGCGTGGACCTTCCTGGGTCCCGCTGAGCCAGAGCCAAGAGGCCACCCCTCGAATGACAGCCCCGTGCAGCCCCCGCCCCGGCAGCCCTCTCGAGGGCTCTGCACACACCTCTCTCTCCGCGCTCTGAGTCTTTCCTCTTCGTACCTGAAAGAAAGAAGCCAAGCTGGGCGCAGCCTGCTCTCCGGAGGGGGAGGGTTCTTGCTGGGGAGTGACCCTCTCGCGCTCTCTGTGCTGGGCTGGAGCCCAGGACTTTGCACATGCGAGACGCACCCCAGCCCTCTGGTTTGGGGCAGAGAAAGAATCCTGTGGTTGTGGCTGCCCGCACCGGGCTGCAGAGCAATAAGGAGCCCCCTGAGCGGCCACCTTGCCCCGCGCCTCGCCTGCAAGACCCCGAGCAGGGAGGGTCTGTTCCGCTGGCGAGTCCGGCATCTGCACAGAGGGGCGCTTGGCTGACTGGTTTTGCCACCAGCGATTGGGCAGGACCCTCCCATCACAAGGCCCCGGATGCTCGGGAGGCAGGACCCACATCCAGCTCCACGGTCGTTCTCTGTGAAGGGCCCCGAATGCGAGTTCCCAGCTTCAAGCCCCAGGCAGTCTGTTCTGACTGTCCCACTGGGCCACCACTGCAGAAATGCAGTCACAAGTGACTGGTGACCCAGGGGTGTGCCACCATGTCAATAAAACTTTATTTATGGGGCTGGGATTGTGGCTTTATTTATAAAAACTTTATTTATAAAAATGAGCAGAGGAGCCAGGCGCGGTGGCGCACGCCTCTCATCCCAGCAGCTCTGGAGGCTGAGGCAGGAGGATCCTGAGTTCAAGGCCAGCCTCTGCAATGGCAAGGCACTGAGCAACTCAGTGAGACCCTGTCTCTAAATAAAATATATGAAAAAAAAAAGGGCTGGGGCTGGGGCTCAGTGGTTGAGAACTAGCACATGTGAGGCATTGGGTTCAATCCTCGGCACCACATCAATACAAACAAACAAATAAAGGCATTGTGTCCATCTACAACTAAAAAAAAAATATTTAAAAAAGGGCTGGGGATGTGGCTCAGTAGTTAAGCATCCCTGGGTTCAATTCCTGGTACAATATATACATATAGAATTTCATAGCTACCTTTTTTTTTTTTTTTTTTAATGGTGCTGGAGATGCGCCCTGGGCCTCACACATGGCCAGGTGAGCTCTACCACTGAGCCTCACCCCAAATCTTTGATGCATTTTCAATTATTAATGTCTAGGTTGCAAAAATATATTCTGAACAGAGACCAAAATGTAAATATGGGGAGCTGATACACATAAGGCCTGCTTCCTGCCAGCGCTGGGCCACAACTTGGGCTTTCTAGACTCGCAGTCTGGTCACCGTGTGACCTCAGGGAAGGACAAATTGTGACGGTTCCTTTGAGGTGCAGGACCAAATCGGGATTCTTTAATGTGGCCGGTGGGAAGGGGACATGGGGCGGCTGCTGGGGAACCGAGCCGTGGTTCCTCAACAGCTGGACGCGGAGTCGCCTCCGAGTCTACTGCTGGGCCCACCCGTGAGAGCTGGTGGGGTCTCCAGGGAGCACGTCCAGGTCGCAGCAGCCACGGGGTGGAGAGGCCGACGCCCCCACCAAAGTGGGGCTCAGGGTGCGGCCAGCCACACACTGGGGTCACTCGGTCTTAGCGGAAGGGCACCCAGTGCCTGCTGCCCGGGACGGACCTGGGACCCGGTGCTCAGTGACACAAGCCATACTCAAGGGACACATGGCAGCCTCCAGGGGATCCCTGGGGTCTCAGAGCCACAGAGAAGCAGCGTGGTGGGAGCCGGGCTGGGGGGACGGGCTCGGGTGTGGCGGGTCAGAGCTCCATCCTGGGGGACAAGGGAGCTCTGGAGGGGGTGGTGGGGACGGCCGCTCAGCCCGAGACGGCCCCGTGCCCCTGAGCTGTGCTTGGACACGGGCAACGTGGTCAATTTCGTGGTCTGTGGGTTTACCACAGTTTTGAACCTGATGCTGAGGAGAGCTGGGTGGCATGGAGCCTTGGGGACCCGTTGACATCATTCTTAGTGAAAAAAGGGCAGGACGCGTGGCTCGCCCCCGCCCCCCATCCCCGGCACACCTGGCCGGACCCCAGGGGCTCCAGGAAGCAGAGCCTGGGGCGGGGAGCCCGGGGCGGGGACCCCCTCCCAGCGGGTCGGCTGGTGGGGCGGTGGCGGCGTGGGGGACACTCACTGCAGCACACACTCTGGGATCTGCACGTGCTCCATGGGGATGAGCTGCTCCAAGTCCTCCAGGCTGTGCACGTACTGGATCTTGCTGATGAACTTGACGCTGCAGGACGGGGGGCGTCTGAGTGCCCAGAAAGCCCAGGAGGCCCTCCCCGGAGCCCAGCACTGCCCAGCCAGGGACGGGCTGGGGACTCCAGCGCTTTCGCTCCTCGGCCGATTTCCCCAGGGATGCTTTTCCTCGGAGGCGCTGCCCGCGAGGGCACCATGGCCACTCGGGCCTGGGAAGCGGGTCGCAGGCCTCCGCCTGCTCCTCCTCCTCCTCCTCCTTTTCAGTGCTGGGAGCTGAGCCCACTGCAGAGCTGCCCCCGCCCTGTTTATTTATTTTGAGATGGTGTCTGGCTAAGTCGCCTGGACTGGCCTTGACCAGCCTTGACCTTGCATCCTCCTGCCTCAGCCTCCGGTCACCGGTCTGCCAGTGCATGTGCCAGCTGTCACAGCCCGTCCTGGGGACAGTGCTCGCTTCCTGTTGGAGCCTGGGCTCCGGCTGCGGGAACCCAGGAGGCACCTCGTTGGCAGCGCGGGGCTCAAATCTTTTTTTTTTTTTTTTTATCTTTAATTAAAGCTAAATTTAAGAAATGCCATGAAAGCTTTTCAAGGTGACATAGCAAAGTCGTCACTGAGAACTGGGCTGCGGGAGGAAGGCCTGGCCCAGGTTGGCAGCCGCAGGGCTTTGTGTCTGGGCTTCTGTGTTTGGACGTCCCCTGGAAACGGCTCAGCTTCCTGGAGGGCTCTGGGGACAGAAGACGCTGTGCCCGGCGGCGGCCCAGGGCCAGGGCAGGAGCAGAACCTATGCAGACGTTTCCTGGCCGTTGCTGAGTGGCCATCTGTGTCGCGGGGCAAGGAGGACGCTTCTACAAACTTCAGATTTATTTTGCAATCTGAAAGCCCCTGGAGCAGTGTCCCTGTGGAGCGCAGTGTCCCAGGACCAGAGGCCCCAGCAGCCGGTGTGACAGGGCCAAGGTCCACCGCACCTGGAGAGGCCGCGGCTCCGGCCATCTCGATGCGCTCCCCCAGCTCCTCGGAGAGTCCTAGACCGTCAGTCAGCGCTACAGCCTAGAGCTGCTCCCCGGGCCGGCACAAGCCTCACAGTGACAGGGACAGAGTGCCATCCCACCATCAGGAGCCGAGTCTCCTTCCCTGAGGGAACTGGGGGACATTCCACCCAGGCCAGGCGCTCAGTCCAGATTGCCCCGACAGGACAGCGGGTCCTCAGCACCGTGGGTGCTCGGCCGCCTGCAGCTGCCATTCCGGGCTCCTGGCTTCTCCTGGGGAACTCTTGCGCCCACGATCTCTTTGGAGCCCCCAAAGAGACCCAGGAAAAGAAACCCAAAGTGACAGAACTTCCCATGTTAAAGGCAAAGGCCCAGCTAAGGCAGCCTGTGGGGAGCAGGGCGGGCACGAGGCCCCCACCCTGGAGGGCACGCTCGGCCTTCCTCGGGGAAATCCCGTGATCTGCTCAACAGAAAATAAACACATTAGCATAATATGCTAATACACACGCAATCTGCATGATATGCAAATAAACATGTGTGGATCAGCCCCAGGAGGGGCCCTGGCAGGCCCTTGAGGCAGACCTGAGCTGGGGGCGCAGGGGCAGGGCCGGCCCCTAGCTCCCCCAGAGCCCCCCTAACTCCCCCAGAGCGTCTCAGCATGAGACTGAGGGAGCTCAGGACCTTTGTTTAACTCAGTGTCTGAATTAAGTAAATTAAACCTGCATGACATCGCCCGGGGTCAGGGGCATTTAACACACTAAGCGTCTTCTCAGCAGACCTGGGGCGCTCGGGTCCGGACAGTCCAGAGGAAGGTGACCCGTGGGCTCTGGAGCGTCTTTGTTGACTGGGGGCCGTGAGTGATGACACATGGTCCCTGCTAAAGATGGGACTCGTGGGACCCTGGCGGAGCTGGAGTCTGGCCAAGGTCAGTCCCACAGGGGTTCTGCCTTGTGTGCATGGGCCCCCGACAAAAATCCTGGGTGCCCCATTGCTGGGAGAGTTAGGAGGTTTCCCCGAGTGACCCCCAGAGGGGACACGGGCTGCGTGGGCTCCCCGGGGCCTCCTCTCATCTTCTCTCGGGTTTTCATCTGTATCTTTCGCTGGACTGACGGGGACTGAGCACAGCAGCTCCCCTGAGTTAGTCTCGGGCCACAGCACCCCCGTGGTTCACGGCCCAGTGGGTCCCAGGCGTGGAGGGGGCTGGCTGGGTGACACTGTCCGGGGGACCCATTGGCCCACACAGGTTCTTCAGTGGGTGGAGCAAGGCTCGCCTCCCGAGTGGCCTTGCCATGTCATTCTCGGTGAGTTCTTGACCCTTCTCGGGCCTCGGTTTCCCTGTGCCCAAGACTGGGGCAGTGACAGCAGCCTCTCAGGTAACAGTCATAACTAGTAAGAAGTGTGCAGCGCTCAGCCTGCAGAGCCGCTGTGGCTGCCAGTCCCCCTGCGGGCCCACACCCTGCCCGCACGCACATGTGGAGGTCTGAAGTGGGGCCAGGCACAGTGGCCATGGCTGTCCTCCCTGTGGCTGGGAGGCTGAGGCAGGAGGATCGAGAGTCCAAGGCCAGCCTGGGCGACTCAGCAAGGCCCTGAGCAACTGAGCAAGACCCTGTCTTAAAATAAGACAAGAAGGCTGGGGTCCAGCCGGGCGGGGGCTCTGGGTCCACCGCAGTGTGGAAAACCAAACGAAAATACCAAGTGCGGGGAGGGGAGTGTTCCAGACTCCAGTTTTAAGGCATTTTTGGAATATTTTCATACATATATAAAGTGTGTGATCCTTCAGAGGGGCTCAAACACGGAATTCTCTGTGCTTCCTGTGCACCCCAGGCACGCAGCCCGAGGGGGATCTTGTGCAGACGTTTTTGGTGAATCTGCATTTTGACCGAGAAGCGTCCCGGGGTCGGGATGGAGATGGCCACTCGCAGTCTCATTCCACTGAATGAGGAGCGAGCGCTTTAGATTTTGGATTTGGGATCTTTGCATTGGCAAGCCTGGTCAAGGCAAGGGCAGCAGATGTTCTCGAGCAGCTAGAGACACACCCGTGGAACCCACCGCTGCCTGTCACTGCTGGCTGCTTGCCTTACCTGATGAAGGGGCGGGAGATGGCCAGCACGGTGCGAATGAACCAGGAGGGGTGGACGATGATCAGGGACTTCAAGTTCTTCCGCAGTCTGTGTGGGAGGCACAGGAGACCAGTCGGCCCCGGGGCAAGCCCTGGGAGGTGGGAGGGCCACCGTCTGGCCCTGTGGCTCTGGTGGCCTGCCCATAGAGAGCTGAGTTGGGAGGGACCCACTGTGGTAGCAAGGGGGCCCGGTGGGCAAGGCATAAGCTGCTGAGACTGGTCACCATCCAGGGTGGCCTCTGGTCACACGGGGCTGGGCGCAGGGTGTGTGGGCAAGAGGTGGAACAGCCCCGACTTCCTCTGAGGGACACCGGTCCTCCCAGCCGGGGACGCCCCTCCTGCCGAAGGGGGGGGCTCTGATTCCGCTGCCGCTGGAGGGACTGAGGAGGAGGAGCCACCCAGGGGCAGAGCCCGTGCAGGGACCCGCCCCGTAGGACCTTCCTACAGGCTCCCGGATGGGCAGCAGCAGGGGCGCCAGGACTGAGGGGCACGGGGGCCAGCCGGGAGGCAGCTGCACAGGAGCGCGTTCACAGCAGGCGTCGTGCAGTTAAAGGGACAGCAAAGGTGCGGCCCCCTTAGCCCAAATGACTGCTGTCGTTAAGGGAGAAACCTGGGCACAGACCCGGGAGACGCTGTGCGCAGACGCAGGTGGAGGCTAGGTCGCACTCTGCCAAGGACGCCAGAGTCACAGGCTCCAGCCGACGCTGGGCAGGGTCTGGACACTCTCGTTTGGGCCCAGGGGCCAGGCCCGCCCATCTGGGCTCCAGGACGCAGCAGCCAGTAGCTATTTGAGACTCCACCCGCCCACCCGCGGGACGCCCCTCACCTCCTGTCAATCATCTGATAGCACTTCTTCAGCCAGCCGATGCCCGGCATCCTCCGCCGGGGCGTGGCGCCGTTCAGGTACACGATCATGTAGTCCTCGGCCACCAGGAGCTCCAGGCTGCTGATGACGTACCTGGCGGGTGGAGAGGGCAGCGCCCGGGGGCGCCCCGTGTGAGGACACCCACGGGGCCGCCCTGGCTGGGCCGGCGGGTCTGCACAGGCTGGCCCCTGTCCTGGAGGCTGGGGAGACGCCGTGGGCGCCCCTCAGCAGCCGCGGCTGTTTTATTGAGCATTTACTAGGTGCCAATCACTTGGTGTGCACACTCTCATTCAAGGTTTCCCGAGACCCACCCTAAGAATGGGTGTGGCCCTGACCATCCACAGCTGGGGGACAGCGGCCTACAGAGGCCTGCGTGGGAACACAGTCCACCTGCTCTGGAATCTGGAGGCCCGCCTCTCCCTGTGTGATTTCACATAAATGCCCCCCAGCCTCGGCCTCTCATCTGGGGAGACTGGGCCCCGGGACACGTGGGCAACTTCCTGTGCTGGCCTTCGTGGGCACCTCCTCTGGTCTGAGGGGCCGCCCAGCCTCCGTGGAGAGCCCCCCAACACGGCTGGGCAAGGTGGATGTGGATGGGAGGTGAGGGGGAGCAGGAGAAAGGCCATCGGGCAGCTACTTGCGCCCTGCCCGGGCCCTCGGGGGACCGTCTGTGTCTGACTTGCTGACAGCCCTGGGGGTCAAGGGCACTTGGAGAGCGGGCGAAGGTGGAGAGAGAGCTGGTGAAGGAGACCCCGGAGAGAGGGAGCGAGGTCAGGGTCGGCCTGGTCACCGTGGACTCTGGGGCCAGGTCACTCCTGCGCGGGCATCCTGGGCGCTGCCGTGGGTGGAGCAGTGTCCCTGGCCTCCCACGCCATGGGCGCCCCCACACTGCCCAGGCCACTTTGTCCTTACCAAGCCCTCCTCTGTGTTGGGTCCAGCCTGGCAGCCGAGTCACGCTGTGCGAGGAAATCTTAGTAATAACAAAGATAAGAGCCGTGATGACTTCCTGCGCTCTTAGCGTTACCTGCTGGGTGCCTGCCACGTATCAGCCCTAGCCGTCACAGTGGGGCTGCCCCTGTGTGTCCCTGGTGGTTCATGACCTCCCTGTGCCTGGATTCCCCACCTATAGAATGTGAGGCAACGGGACCCACCACATAGGGTTGTGGTAAACATGGGCCATGCTGGCATACAGGAAGTGCCTCGCCTTGCGCTGCCACACTGTAAATGCTCAATAAATGATGGTGATGATGGTGAAGGCAGTGGTGATGGTGGTGATGGTGATGGTTATGATGGTGAAGGTGCTTGTGGTGGTGGTGGTGATGGTGGTGGTGGTCATGGTCATGGTCATGGTGATGGTGGTGATGGTGATGGTAGTGGTGATAGTGGAGATGGTGATAGTCATAGTGGTGATGGTGATGGTCATGGTGATGGTGGTGGTGATGGTCATGGTGATGGTGGTGGTGATGGTGGTGATGGTGATGGTGGTGGTGATGGTCATGGTGGTGGTGGTGGTGGTGGTGA